ATAAGTGTTGGAGAAGTATATATAGATACGTTTGGCCTGACAAAGGCACAGATTCTGTCTATTTATCACGGCTGTGGAAAAGCATGAGCTCCAGTGGGAAGGATGTGGCACTGATGTCATAACAACAGGCACTTTAAGGCAGAAGTATGTTTCTTTCCTGCCACCATGTGGGTGTCACTAGACACTACAAACACCGACTGCAGCTCATTGGTTTATTTCAGTCCTGGAAACAACTCATGGATTACATCATCATCGCAGGGTTTTTTGTTGTTGTTTTTTTTCAACATTCTCAGTTTAGTTTCAGACAAAAAAAACTTTAAAATCTTAAAATAGAAAAGTGTAATTTATTTCATATATGTGGAGGTTGTGAGTGTAAGTCGGGCCAGTTTTAAACTGCCTGGATGATTGTAAACTCAAAGCGGACTGACACGTTCCATGCCTCCTGTCATCCTCCAGATGAGGAGAGTTTCCAAAATCAAGAGCCGCGCTCAAACTAATGTCCTAAACAAAGGAAAAAGACCATTAACACGACATGCAAACCGTTCTGGACGAAACTTTAAACTCACAGTCGTCCACGGCTGGAGTGACACACACCAGACGCAGGGAGGAAACACTTCTAATTTGAGGGCTTTTTTTTTTTTTTAATTTGATGTAAAACGCCCAGATTTACCTGCTCCTGTTTCAGATCAGGAACTGAAAGTAGTCTCATGCTGGACTATTTTTAGACTCGCACTAATGACTTTACAGCACCCCCCCACCCCCCACCCCCAGTTCTTAACAGCTCTTCTCACAGTTTCACGTTTGACAGGTTCCATTAAGTTTCCCATTCACTCAAGCTGCTAACAACCCCCTGTCATTAGAGCTGTATTATCACATTTCATTTATAACATACACCGAGTCCTAATTTCCATCTGTTTAATATAATCACGTGAACAAAAGTAAGGAATTACCATAATGACTGTCCTCAGCTGACATATCAATAAAGCCCTCTACACCGTGGATTTGTTTGGCACACATGACGGGTTTCGCACACTTGAGCGTCTGCTTTGGCTCAACAGGACAAAAAGCACTTAGAGTGTTTGAGTGAAAAAGTGAGAGGTCTTCAGCTCCGCAATTATCTGCAGGTTCCCGTTCTCTTTATTCCCTCTTTGCTTGGCTCACATTAGATGCGCTAATAGCACCCTGCCGGATATTCCTGGTGTTCGGAAAAAGTAGGCCGCACTCTCAGGGAAGTGCTCAGAGAGCACGCGGGGAGAAGCTGCAGACAGACACGCTGCGGATCAAAATGTACCGCGCGAATTCTCGACCCCATTTGAACGGATGTCATCGGATCAGGACGTCAGTGTGGACAAATATCTGGACAACTGTGACAGCATATACAGGAACACGGACGCAGGGCCGAAATGTTGCAGCTATGCTAGGTTTTAGGATTAGAACTTGTCCTTCGTTAGCCAAAGTAAAATATTCATTTGAGTACATTTATCTAACCTGCAAAATGTGGTGCAACATGTTTACTTTCAGTGTGTTAATATTTGGTTGTTTTGAGGTGATCAACTGGCTGTTTGACAGTTAGCAAAACGTGTCTGAGTGCTCGCATGTTGCTAATTCTAATGCTAACGCTTTTTTTCTAATTCCAGTTTAATTTCCCAAATTAAAACCTAGAATTAAGATTTTGCTCATCCATTTGGAAAAACTCAAATCAGAAATCTAAACGTATGATTTCCATGGCATCAGCTAGCATTAGCATTTTTTGTATTCCAGCAGTGTCATTTAGAACTGATTTAGTATCTCATTTCAAATTGTAACCCTGTTTTCTTTAAGCACTTGCGGGTGGCTGTTAGCATGCAGCTAACGCTTCTCAGCGGGTGATAATGCTAGCTACTTCACTCCTTGATATGTTTTCTCATGTATCTCTTGTTTTCGAGTAGGAGTACTTTGTTTAGTACTAATTCAGTTGGGCTAAATGCCCAAAG